ATATCCCTCAGTGAGACTCGGCATGATCTGATTGGTTAGGATCTTATGGTTCATGCTGATTGGAGGTTGGGGCAGAAGGAGAATTCAAGCTAGACTGACCCTGGAAAACAGAAGCTTAAGGGTGCAGTAAGAACTGAAACCCATAGGCGTCATTATTGCCAACATCAAGTTCTATCTTAACTGTTGACTTTTGGAGGAAAGGGGTCTTTTAGTTTTTTAAGGAACTGTTTTTCAAGCTTTTCTAGATTTCTGCTTTTTTGGGGGGGGGTGGTGGTTATGGTAGAGAATCTGGCACTCTGGACCTGAATGCTTTCATGGCAAACACTGTGCACTCAATAGCATGGTGAGTCTTTTCTGGCTTGCCACAGTCATCACCTGTCTTTGATATCTGAGCACCAGTTCCTGTGCAACCCTTGACTCCCTAGGACCTTCCGTGTTCTTGTGGCGATCAAATCACCACAGTGCCCTCTAGTGGTATCTGTGGAATAACCAGACATTATGAGGAATTTTAGAACTGACTCAGCAAAGCAAACCTGCAAGAGAGGACTAAGAATTTCAATTCTACCTCAGATTTTTTTCCCTTTGGTGCTGGGATTGGGCACAGGGTCTCATGCATGCTAAGCATACAGTCTCCCATTGAACTACATTCCCAGTCTTGCGTTTTTTTTTTTTTTTTAATACCCTGATTTGGAGGGGGATAGTTACATAATGTCTAGCTCATGGTGAATTCTTATTGCCTCTCTGGATGTTCAATACATGTTATCCCTTCCCCTAATCAAGTATGTACAAAATTTTCTACTCCAAATATGTCTTCTCTTACCTCTCCTTAGGGCACAGTCCTAGAAACAACTTTATAGTTAAATATGAGAGTGCTATTTTTTTTTTTTAAAGGAAGGCAAAGACTGTTGGTCTTTCAGATTTAAAAGCTTTATTCTGGAATGAAGTGATGAGGCAAAAGGAAATACTAAACCACGTTCAGATGATCTTGTATGTGACATTGGCCTGAACTTGCTATTCCACAGTGGGGTGTTGGCATCAGTGGCTGGCTGGTTCACACCCTCTCGGTTTCCACTATCAGGAAAACATTATATGAGAAAGTCATGAGAAACAGAAGGACTGCGTATTAACATCTTCCTGTATTTTCTTTCCTGTTTATTTTTTTCAATTAATTAATTAATTTGAGGTACTGGGGTTTGAACTCTGGTAGTAGGCAGATACTCTACTGCTTGAGCCATACTTCCAGCCCAACTGTTTTCTTTTTAAAGGTAGAATGCCAGATTGTGCATACCCTGCTGTGGCTAATGTGGAAGAATCTGAATCAACTCTCCTGATAAAGCCTGAAGATATCGTCTTCAAAGAACCAGGGAGCTCAGAAAAGACTCTCCGGACACTTCTGAGACCAAGTGATAAAGTTGCCAAACACCACACCACAACTTCTTCTGAGATCAGTGCAGTTGTAGGAGCCGTGCCTTCTCTCTGTGAGTGTTGTCACATCATTTGTCATGTTTTTAAATGATCGGCAAACATGAAAGCAAAGTGTGCTTTGTCTGCCCCGGCCTCTCTCTGTATTGGACTGTAAAGTTCTCAGAGCCTTAGACATTAACACTAATTCCGTATTCTAAGTACTTAGGGGTCTCATGTATAAATGTTGGCTGAACTGCTAATGATGACTGAAGTAAAATGATTCTTTATATATTAATGGATTGAGAATCAGACTAAACCAAGTTATTAGTCTTTCAAGCCATGTGGTTTTTAGTTGTATGTACTCTGTCTTCAAGTATTCTAAGAATTTTTTTTTGATGGGAGTGCGATTTAAACTCAGCTCTGTGCTTGCAAAGCAGGCACTCCACCACTTGAACCATATCTCCAGTCCATTTTGGTCTGGATATCGTGGAGATGAGGGTCTCACTAACTTTTTGCCTGGGCTGGCCTTGAACAGCAAACTCCTATCTTCTCCTCCCAATTCGCTGGGACTACAGATGTGCACAGCCACATCTGGATCCAAATTTCTGTTTTTCAGAAGGACTCCAATCATATTGGATTTTAGGATTTCATACACCTGTAATGCTCAACTTAATTAATTATATATGAAATGACTTTATTTCCAAATATGGTTACATTTTGAGGTATTGGGTGTTGGAACTTTGACACATGAATTTTGGGAGGGCAGAATTCAATCCATAACATCTACTGCACAATATTGAACATAAGCTTTTTTTTTTTAAGAATGACATTGCTATCTATTATTAATTTATTAATTCAGTAGCTATTTACTCACTGATGAAAGTGAGGTACTCTTCTGGTGTGATGGGGGATACAAACATGAGCAAAACTTGGATTTTTGTCCTTAAGGAGTCCAAGGAAAGACAGGCATGTAAATATCTAAAAACTCAAGGCAGAGCAATTGCTCTGCATGATGCAAAATAGTTTTATATTATCATATATCATAATAATAAATCCCTAAGGAGGCCAGATTTTGGCTTAATTTTAAATATAGGATATTGTGTTATTGAAAAAGTGATTTATTCAGATACAGAAATAGTAGAATAGTAATAGTAATAATAGGTAGAACTTGTTATGTACTGACTATATGTTAAAACTAATTCTCATTTCAACTTTATTATGATGGCACTATTATTATATTTACTTGGAGGGAAAGTGAGATAGAGGGGCTTAAGGTAATAGAGCCAAGGGTTGGGAGACTTAGGACTACAGGCAATGTGGTTCCAGAACCCCAGTCTTAACCAGGGTATTGTATTTCTGGGAGATCAAAAAGCACAGATCAGAATCCTAGATAAGTCATGGCATACCTCTGTCATCTAGCCCCCCTTCAAAAATTGTGTGAGATTTGCTGTGACAGAGTATTAGTTATTTTTTTCCTTTTTTTTCATTTATTCATATGTGCATACAATGCTTGGGTAATTTCTCCCCCTATCCCTCACCCCTTCCCTTTCCCCCCCACCCCCTCGCTTCCAGGCAGAAACTGTTTTGCCCTTATCTCTAATTTTGTTGAAGAGAGAGTATAAACAATAAGAAGGACAAGGGGTTTTTGCTAGTTTAGATAAGGATAGCTATGCAGGGAGTTGACTCGCATTGCTTTCATGTAGAGTATTAGTTATTTAGAAAATATTTTATGTTGGTCAGGAGCACTTTCTTAGACTAAGGACATTATGAATGATTGAAATATTTTTCTCAACCAGATCTTATAGACATGCTATATGTTTTAGTGTAATGAATCATGTCACTAATTTTAGAGTGGTACTGTCCAAGACAAATGTAACTGGAGTCATCTATGCATTAAATTTTTCTAGTATTTTAAAAAGTCAGACTGAAAATGAAACAGGTGAAATTGATTTAATTACTGTGTTTATATACAAAGTGTCATTTCAATAACTAATCAATATAAAAATTATTAAATATTGAATTCATTTTTTTGAGATGGAATCTTGCTGTATTGCTCAGGCTGTTCTGTAACTCCTGGGCTCTAGTGATACTTCTGCCTCAGCCTTCCAAGTAGTTGGGACTCCATGTGTGTGCCATTGTATCCAGTCACAGTCTTCTTTTTGTACTAAAGTCTTTGAATTTTACTCTTAAAGCATGTTGCAATGGACCAGCCACATTTCAAGCCTCAGTAGCCACGTGTAGCACAGTGTTGTTTTAGAACATCTGTTTTCTTCCATTATTGATGATCTACAGGTTACCCCATCTATGGTGTTCCAACTGTCCGATCCGATATTCCTGCCCCCCGGATTCGTCGTGTCAGTGATAGAACTAATTATGGAGAAGAAGGAAATGCTTATTCATTACTGCATCCTACCATCTTTGCTGAGAAAGGAGTGTTTGAAAGGGACTTCTTCAAGACCAGGTCAAAAGAAGAGGTACTACCATTACCTCAAAAGAAATGTCTATCTCATAGAAACATACTAAAGTGGAACTCTTATCAATAATTATAATTATTATTATTGTTGGTTTTGGTGGTGCCAGGGCTTGAACTCAGGGCCCCATGCTTGCTAGGCAGGCACTCTACCACTTGAACCACTCTATCAGCCCTTTTTTTTGTGTTGGATATTTTTGAGATAGAATCTCGGAAACTATTTGCCTGGGCTGGCCTTGAACAGCTATCCTCCTGATCTGTGCCTCCTAAGAAGCTAGAATTACAGGCTAGTCTCCAGTGACCAGCAACCATTATTATTTTTATTATTTGTTTTTCAGACAGGATCATGTATGTTTCCCAGGTTGGCTTTGAGCTTAAGATCCTCCTGCATTAGTTTCCTAGGAGTTTGGATTACAGACATGAGCCACTATACCTGGCTTTCCTGCTATAATTCTTTTCCCTTTTGGTTTTTGGAGGCAGGGTTTTTCTATCTTATTGTGTGACCTGGAACTCGAGGGCCTCCTGCCTCAGCCTTCTGAGCACTGGGATTATAGGCACTAACTACCATGCCCGGCCTGATACACTTCTTGAAGAATTTATTCTGTGACAGGGAACATTTCATGTTGTTTATTCACTATGGTCCATGTGTTTAAAAGAAAAATCTCTTCTAAAACATTCAATAGTGTTCTTAATTGGGAAAAGGCAAAATGATCAATCTCTTCCTTATGAAGGGAGAAGGCCATCCTTATGGCCTTAGTTCTCTAAAAACGAACAGTGGGTATGAGGAGGACTCTTCTGTCATTCTTCCTATATGCTGCTCGCACAGGTTTCAGATTATCTGAGACAAGCATCAACTTAATATATTTAATATATAGCTGTCCTGTTTCCACAATAGAAGTCAGACCATATACCTTGGTACTTTGGTTTCTTTAACTCAGGAGACATGCTCCCCACATCCCAGCCGATCCTCTTTCTAGTTGGGTTGTAAAGCAAAAACACCAATCAGGCTGTGATAGCCACGAGGGTGCCAAGGGCCAACTGCAGCGTTCAGTCAGGCTACCCTTGCAGATCTGGACTTGTGGAATCCAGAAATAACTGCCTCTTTAGCACCTTTATCACCAGAGCTAGAAATAAGAGTAAGAGATAAAAGATGCCCTCTTGGACTTCAGAAGAAGGGATTACCTCTTGAAAACTTATAGATTTCTTTATTTCTTTTTTTTTTCTCTTCTGTAGTACTGGGGTTGGAACTCAGGGTCTACACCTTGAACCACTCCACCAGTACTATTTTTGTGATTTTTTTTTCAAGATAGGGTCTCATGAACTATTTGCCCGGGCTGGCTTCGAACTGCGATCCTCTTGATCTTTGCCTTCTGAGTAGTTAGAATTACAGGTGTGAGCCACCTGCCTGGCAACAGATTTATATCTAAAAATTCATCCCCCCTGAGTCATGGGAGAGAAGGCAAACTCAGATGACAATGCCTGCGACTGACCTAAAAGGAAGAAGCTAGGATCCCTCCCCATGGGAGTCAGAGAAGAGACACCCCCAGATTGTTTTAACTTCTCTTAATCACTCTAAAAGGCTTGCAAAATAGAACTTCGGGGTTGCCCCTAAGAAATAAAAATCCCCTGCTTATTTCATAATGCCTAAACATTCTAAGTAGAAGGTCATCCTTTATCTCACAATTCTAGATAAAAAGTAAGAACTGAAAGACCTGGTTGGAATACTAAAATTAACTTGGGTATTTTTACTAAGTGTTGGCTAGTTAGTACACTACTGATAAGTGGAGGAATGCTTCTGAGGAGAGGGAAAGGAAGCAAGGGCAGAAGTCTGGAATGTTCAAGACACCTTGGACCACTCCATGAATTCACTCAGGGGGCATTTGATATTTACCACAGCCGGGGGGAAGACAGCAGCTGTACTTAGGGGCATTGGGGTGTTTTTGCTGTGCAACTACAGTTGCTAACAGCTCTGCTCTTCCAAACTTAAGTATTTGGCTTGTATTTGATTTTACTGCTAATTTCTGACAAACACACATCGTTTCTAGGGGAGCTTTTAGTTGTTGACATTCCATTTAACAGATGTATTCTGAAACTGAATTCTATTTCCTGGTCACTGTCTTACCTTTCCTTTTCTTTTTTCGCCCTACATGCTTCATGCTTCACGGTAAATGCTTTTTCTCTGTGTCTCTCTATCTCTCTTTCTTTCTCTCTTCCTTTCTTACTTGTTTTTGCATTAAATTCACTATGTGGCCCAGGTTGGCCTATAACTGAAGGTCCTCTTGCCTCAGCTTCCCAAGTGCTGGAATTTCAGATATGCACCACCACGCCTGGCTAGTGAATGCTTTTCTTTCAAATGTAGTCATTTTTAAAAATTTTGCTTTCACATCTTTTATCCCTTGAACCATTCTATCCTTTCTTCTCACAACTAGTTTTTACTCTCTTTTCTGTGGATATGTTTTCCTGTTCTCTTCATCCTTTTTAATGGTTACCGTGGCAGAGATTATTAGTAATCTAAGTTTGTTGCTTTTCAGTGTGCTTGCTTGATCATGTGTGTCTTAACCTTTTGGCATCTGCACATTCATGACCATAGTTGGGTTTACAACAGGCTAATGAGGTAAATTTTATAAATGCACCTATTCTAAAGCACAGAGGAGCTAATATTTAGAGGGCTCACATGGCACATACAAGATCATAGTGAAAATCATGACTCAAATAGAACTCAAGTCATCTATTGTTAATTATTTTTATCGATTTTTTTCTGCTTCTCTTGAAAAGAACCAGAGAAACTCAACAATTGAAAGTAATTGTTATATTCAGAATAACAAGATCACTCCTCAGGTGAAAATGCTAAAATTTTGATATTTTCTCATTTTATGTACACATACACAAACACACTTTTTGGGGGATGCATATCCATGATATTAGATGTTATTAACATATTTTAAATACAAATTTTAAAACATAGTTCTTGGTCTAGCCTTAAACACTTTTTTTTTCTAGATTTCAGAGATATTGTGTAACATCGGTGTCAAGCTTTCTGAAGAAGAATTTGAGAATGTATGGAATCTTGCATCAAAAAAACATCACAGAGGAGAAGTTTGTATTGAAAACATCAGAAATGTTCTGGATGAACTGCAGCATGCAGACCGGCTCAAGTGTAAATCAACCATGTGATATTTTTGCAGTTCATGAATTTAAACAAAAGAACTGCTAAGTCTATGTTCATCTAAAATTATTTGACCCATTCTGGCTTTAGATATTATGTTACAATTCAGCAATCAGTCTGGTACAATTGATATGCCAGTGTGTATTAATAAATTTGATTTTGTATTTTCAAATTTGGCTTGCTTACTATAAAGCCCTGAAGAACTTGGTAAATGCTTAAAGAGTTAACTTTCAACCTCCCCACAGTTGTACTGCAGAATATTAGAAATTAGGTAGAGTTAATAGGCCTATGAATGGCATCCATTTTAGATGGTTGTCTGAAATTCAGTCTGGTTTGTGATACCAAGTTCATAACATTTTGCCTTCAATGTTGTTTTTGTCTTTATTATGAAAGGACTTGTACTTAGCAGGCTTTTCAGTCTTTGTTAGCATATGAGGACAACAAACTTATCCCCAAGGAGCAGGAATAGATAGCCAAATCCAAGTCCCAACAATTACATGATAACCCATGATTCTTCCTATCTTGAAACATATTGTTCTTGATGTACTTGAAGAGGACACAGCTGAGCTGCTATGAGATGTGGATTTAAAGGTTTTTGTTTTTAGTAGCAAATTGTTCCTGAACTACTCCTTCCCTCATGCCTTCACTCTTTGATACACAAATCTGATGCCCAGTTATAATGGGGTGGGGTGGTGGTGATCTGGTAGCAGGACAGTGTGTTCCTTCCCTATCTCAGTCAGGTGCCAGTGTGGGTTGAATTCACAATTGAAGTTTTGTCAGTAAGGATAACTTAGTTGATCAAATGATCAGTAATATATATTCTATTGTGTTTCTCTGATAGACCTTGACCAGTTTACTTAAAAAGAAAATGACTAGGACTGGGGATGTAGTTTAGTGGTAGAATGCCTGCCTAGTATGCTCAAGGCCCTGGGTTTGATCCCCAGCACCCCCTACTCCCACAAAATATAGAGACCTATGGTTTAAAGTTGCTTTGCCAAATCTCTAGGAAAAAATAAGTCTACAATACATTTGTTATACAGGTAATTTATGTTAAGAATTTAACTTTTTTTGGTACACTCCCCCATTACTTTATGTATAATAAAGGAATGAAGAAGGGGAAAATGAAAGAGAAAACCACATTGTAGGATGTGGTGGATCCAAATTGCAGTTTTCTAATTGAGAATGTGTTCTTGGTTTATTAGAACAAGAAAATTCTAGCGTAAAGTAGCAGACTCTCTTTTTAGCAGATACCTCCTGACTGTTGCAGGAACACATCAATTGTATCTTCAGCCTCCATTTCTAACTGTGCAGGTGTTTCTGTTTCACTGATTGGCTGCACATCAAGTCAGAGTCTGACCCACCTCACTGACAAATCTGTCATTCACAATATACTTTTATTAGTTTCCTAAATTGTGTATACCTCTTAATCTTAAACTGCACCACAGAGCCATCCTGCTCCACCACCTTCAAATTAATATGACCCAGGGCCTTGTGCACGTAGGCAAGTGCTCTATCACCCCCACTCCCCAGCCCTTGCAATGCAGTTATCAAAATTAGGGAATTAATATTGCTATGGAATTATTACCTAATCTACAGACCTTATTTAAATTTCTTCAATAAGTCCGCTACTTTTGTTTATGGTGAAAAATTTCTCTCAATCTAGGTTGGATCCAATTTACAATTGCAAACTGCACATAGTGGGTCATCTCTTTAGTTTTCATTGATATGAAACCATTCTTCTATCTTTAAGCTTTATAAGCCTTGATATTATTTATGATTTGGGTCAGGTATTTTGTGGAATGTTCCTTAAGTTATGTTATATCAAAAATAACAACTTAGCAATTTATTATGCTATATAAGTGAAAAACATGCATTTTGCTCCCTCAAACTTCTCCTTATTCTTTCTTCTCCTCCTCCTTTTCCTCTGTCCAGTACTGGGGACATGTGCTAGGCAAATGCTCTACCACTTGAGCCACACCCCAGTCTACCCTAGCTCTTCTTGAGGAATCACCTTTTATTTGTTCTAGTGTTTGTGATGTGGTAAGATTGACCTCATTCATACTCCAGAGCTGAGCACGTGACATCAGCTGTGCTACAGCATCATGTCCCTCAGTGATGAGCATGACTGGCAGGGGTAAATATGTGGTCAGCATCAAGCCCAAAACAGCAGAGAAGACTAAATTCCGGAATACTATTAGGCTCTTGCAAGAGTAACGATGAGAAATTGAATTGCTAGCCTTTAGCTAATAGCAGTTCTT